TTATTGGTCATGCATGATGGATAGTCGTTGAACATTACCTGTAGATCTGCAGATCTGCTGTGTATTTAGATGTACTCAGTATCGTACCAGATACTACCACCTACAATGTATTCGCACAGATTACAGTTTATGCACTAAGAGTAATTCAAAGGGAATTACGGGAGCGAAAGTTAGGCATCTCCCTTATTTAGATCAATGCCTTATATATTATTACTTTTTGCTATTGATTACTACATTGTTCATGCAATCAATATTCTTACTAATCGCTAATTACACATTGTTAATGCAATGCTAATTATAATCGCTAATTACTACATTGTTAATGCAATGCTAATTATAATCGCTAATTACTACATTGTTAATGCAATGCTTAAAGATAATTAATCTGCATTAATTATCTCGTCATATTATATCTATAAGTATCACGCCATATAGATAAACCCGATCCCGATCTGACCCCTACATTCTATCGTAATTAGCCCCATTCACGTCACTTAACATGCCCTGAACCAAGTACAAGGGCTGTTCCGAAACTACTCGACAGTATGTATGAAGCGATCACAGATCGGAATTTTGGGTTACTAATTCCCCAAGTTCCTATTGGTCGAATATAAATTTTGTCCCTCATTGAATGAAATAAATCACTGCTTAAAAATTAATAAAAAAAGTTTTGTTTCGAATAATTGGTTTGTAATTGTTATTTCCGTAAAAGTTAAATGTTTATTTATTAGATATTTCTTCTTACTCATTAATACTAGCTCTTTAGCACTTCACAATCGAATAAAAAAACACTTCGGAAGCTCCTTTTTCAGCAGATTTTTGAAATAAACATATATGAGAGGACAGCCAAGTAGGAACTAAAATTTTGGCTTTATTTTTTATTATTTATTTATTTATTTTTTCTCGTTTTTTTTAATTATTTTGTTATTTTTTAATTCGGTCAATTTTATTTTTTAAATTATTTATTTTATATTTGCCGTATAACCACGAAATAGCGCATAGGGAGTTATTTCGAATTTCGGCCTGAATTGAGCTTAATTTAGGCCGAAATTCGAAACCACACCCCAGCGCGTTATTTCGTGGTTATATGGTATTTTTTAATTTTTACCTTTTTATATGTTCATTTTACCGGAGGACATCAAAAAGGAGGGAGGAGGGGTGATGTTAACCGAAAAATTAACTTCAAACGGCCTTAAGCTTTAGACCGAAATTCAGAATTACACTCCTGCGCGTTTATACGGCATGATGATGCCACGACTTTAGGGCCAAACCAAAATTAACCAATGAAAGTCAAAATCAGGTGTAACAAAATTCAAAACAATTACAGAACTGAATACTGGAATAAAACACTTGTTTTGAAAAATCTTTGCCTCTAAGTAAACCTTCCTAATCTTAAACAAACCCTTTAGCATAAATGAATTTTTGAGTTTTCTGATAGCTGAGAAAGTATCCGTTACCAAAAGCGGGTCCTAACAATGCACTTATCTACGTAATCTCCGAAAAAACTCTTAGAAAAACCTCTGGAATCCGATAAAATTACGTGCTGTTTGGAAAATTGATCCTAGGCACTGTCAATTTCCCTCAAAAACCAGTGAAATCGAATCAAATGCAAATAGAAAAAACAACACAAAATCTCTACAAAATCTACAAGTATTCCCTCTCAAAGAAAACAGACCTGATTTGGCCCGCAAAGAGTAAGCCGTTTGTATTCATTTATCAGTTTTGTTGATATACTTATTAAGAACGTACCTACTTTTAAACACCTATCAATAGTATAACAAAGCATAATAAAAGCAAAAACTTGTATTGACGGACTCAACGTGTAGGTCAATTTAAAAGATGGCACAGTACTTACCATGAAGCTGAAGGATACCTTAATTTCTCCCCAAGTTGTAATTGGATGCCTTCAATAAAAATAAATAAAAAATTTTTATTAAGCAAATATATTTTATTTATGCACTTCTAGAATTCTTTCTGCTATTAAAAAAAAAAGCAAAAAATCGAAATAATCTAAACTGTTAACGGAAATAAAAATTTTTAATTGATACTTTATCCTCAAGAGAATAAAATTTTGCCGAGACTTTTAATATACCCAACTCTGTTTTAAAATTCCTTAATTATATTCTGGGCCGCGGTTTTTACTTTTATTTAAAAAATAATTGATATGAAATGTTTCAAGTTCATTTTTATTGATGCTGATATAATATTGAAAAATTGACAATTTTTAATACTAAAATAATGTTAAGTTCTCAAAAATAGTGATTGGACCCGTCAAAAAAAGCGCCACCCGGGTGGGTTAAAAAAGCAACCCGTCGGGTCGACTCATGAGCCGCCCGGGTGAATAGATGCCCCCTGTTATTACGCACACTTGTATATACAAATATATTTCTAAGTGGTAGTTTGTTTTAAAAGTCTCTAGCATTAAAATAAAATAGTAATTTTTTTTAGAAATTTACCAAGAATTCATTTTATATTATACTTGATATGTAAGTAATTCTCGAGCGACTTTTATCAATGGCAAGATTTTAAAGAAAAAAAGATAGTTTGTAACTTGCTGGTTTTTCATCAAAATGGTAACGTTTAAAAATTTACCTCCGATCCATTGAGAACACCCTTAGTCCGTTTTGAAAAGTTTTTTTTTTTTTAAAAAAAAGGCAATTAATATACATACAAGTATATGTTTGGATTGAAGTTTAGTAAAGCCTTGCAATTATTGTTAACGGGTCACCCCAAAACTCCAATCGGGTTACCCGCCCACCCGCGGGCGACCCGGTTGGCACCTACCCGGGTCCAATCACTACTCAAAAACCATTTTATCGAAAGGACATAATTAGTCGGTATTATGTTCTTTCAGGAAAATATAACCCTGATACGCACAATACTGCAATAGGTACTAGTTTGCTAATTACGTAGTAATACTGAAAATAAATGTTACTGCTAGGTAGGGTAGGGGGCACACAAAATTATTTGGGCATGCCTATAGGGGCATGCTCTTGGCTGAGCCCCTTCTTATTGTGCCCGGGGCATGCCCCTTTATATAAAATACTACTATAAGTGAATAGCATGCCGTCCAATCAGATGCATGAATTTGAGACTCTAAAACCCACTTAAAGAAATCTGTTAAATATAGCAAGCATTATACCTCAATTTGTATACCAAAGTTATAAGTTTCTTTTGCTTCAGATTTATATGTGTTTACTAGTAAACTCTAGGTATGCTTTGGTCTTTAGAATCTGAACGATTTTGTTCTTTAGGACTTGAAAGTGGTATGTACTGTACATATGTACATATGTACAGTACGTTCATCATTTTGTTGTATTTGATAATAGCCAATCAGAGCGTTGCTTAGCACATAATTAACGATAGTATAATTTTGCTGGTCTTATTTGCTATATATGATCATGCGGTATGGATATTTGCGAATAGATTGTGACGGTTTTTTGTCATGTATGGATTAGATTGTAACAACTTTCGATTATATATGGTTAGATTGTAGCAACTTTTTACCATACATGGATTCGATTTAATTGGATCTACATTCAGAACTTCCTTGTAATTTTAAGAAAGGAAATTTTCATTCGTCATTTTTGTAAAACAAGTTCAATATCAATTGCAATTGTTATTGCTATTGCAATGCAATATCAACTGCTATTGCAATTGCAATATCAACTGCAATTGCAATTGATATTGCAATTGATATTAATATTCCATATAATAATTTTTATCAGACACAGACACAATAATAAACTGTTGTTAAAAAAGCTTCAAATAGCTATTTCTTTTATGTTTCGCTTAGAATAATTAAAGCAATTTTGAGTTTTAATCAAATTTTTTTTTTTTTCCATCGGAAATCTTACAGGACAGATGAATTGATTATCACTGATCATCAAAGTTCATAACGAAAGACCATAGCGAAAGAATTTGGTGACTATTTCCAAATATATGGAATAATGGTGTGATTTAACCTGTTTAAAAACATGATACTTATTCTAAGAAACTAACGTGATAAAAACTGTCAACTTATGAATAATTACCTGATCAGAGACCGATTTTTTTTTTATATATCTTACGTATTAAATTATTATACGTACATATAATAATAATAATTATATTTTTTAATAAATAAATAAAAAACTGCTGATAAAAAGCACTTTAACATGCCCGTGATTTATAGTTATTTCATGATTTTTTTTATTTAAATTAATAAAAAAAATATATAAAATAACATATACTAATTAATTTAATGACAAGTTTTTTATACAAACGATTTTTATTTCTTTTAATTAAAAAAAAATGCCAGCCTCTGTTACCGTTTTATGCTATATTACAAATTATTATAAATCACCTACTAATAAAGATCTTACAATCGTTGAAGCTTCGGGTATTGTAAGATCTCGAAGTTTAAATACTCCCCTCAATGTTATCTTGATCAGATTTTATCCCAATAATGCAATTCAAGAATTAAGCTTACCCGAATTCGAGAATGGAGATGTAGTACTTGTAACAGGAAATTTCCGTATCATTGAAAGTATAGACGATGATAACAAAAAATATCCAATCTTAAAAGTAAGTTGTAAAAAAATACTTTTTTTTTTCTTAATTAAGATAATCATAACATCTTCATTATATTGTATAACATTTTATTAATACATATATAGATTGTCTTAAACGATATCGTTCGTTTCAATAACATTGATCCTAATAACATACCTGCATTTCCAATAATGCTCAATATGACTGCCGTAGCTCAAGAAGAACCGGTGATTGATGAAGAAGATGTAACTATAAAAGTATCATCCAGAAATTTTATTGATCAAGATTATATTAATATCGAAGTAATGTGTTATTATTCTGTGTATGCTTGGCATTTAATGAATGTAATTACTTCTGTAAAAAAACATTTGGTAATTTACATTAATGGAGAGCTTATGATAACCGACGATTCTAACATAGTTCACATTCGAAGCATTTCTTTTCCTAAATATCAAAATTCAATTTTATTTGCTAGAGATTCGATTCATCTTTCTTGGGAAACTAACGATAAAGATAATGAAAATAAATCAAATACCATTGCTCAAACAATTGCCACCAGAGTTAAAGGAAATATTCGTCGTAAAAGAAACTACACCTACCACAAAACCATATTCTAAAACCAATATCCGTCCTATTCGTCCTAAAGTTACTGATTTATCAAATAAATTTTTAAATCAGAATTTAAATACATCTGAACAAACGACATTCTCAGTTAATAATATTGAAAAAAAATAGATAATTATAAATTTTCGATATTCATTCATTATTTATTTATTTATTATTACTTAAAAAATTTACTAAATTAATTCATTAATTATTTTTTTAATTAAAAAAAAAGAAAAAAAATTTGTTAAATTTCCGATTATATTTATAAATTATACATTTTTATTTACCTTAATTTATTATTATTATATTATTAACTGTATATAAAAAAAAATAAAAACGTATATTAGAATAATTATATACGCTTCTTAATAAATTTGTAATATACCATTTTAAAAAAAATCAATACATATGATACATGAATGTTATGTTCGACGTCGTTTCACAATTTAGGTCAATTTTGAATTGACTTACGTTACGTATTCTTAAATTTTCACCGATTTAGAAATGACTTGGGCCAATTCTTAATGCAACAATATACATTTGTGCTAATTTGTCACATAAGATAATTGGTCACACTGCAGCAAATAGAAGGACTTTATCTCAAATTTAAGAAAATTCAAAACCCAAATTTTAAATATTGGGTGACGTAATTTTAAAATTTATGTTATAATTAAGCCAACTGAAAATAATCTGGGGCGCAAGTTTGTTCAATTGAAAAATTTTATAATATAATTTGTACTGCACACAAGCAACAGAACGTGCTAGTCAAGACATAACCTGACAAGAGGTTTTTTTTTTGTTTTGAGTTTTTTTTATAATATACTTTTCTTTTTAATAACTTAGAGTGTTCTCAAGTGTCAATCTAGATGTGATTAGCAAGTGATCGCAATGATACTTAAACAAAATTGTATTTACATAAAATTTTTATTGAGAATTCGAATATATAATTTATGACATAATTGAAATCTTCTCAAGCATTATCTTTGATGTGATTAATTAGTGATTGTAATGGTGCTCATTTAATAGAATCAATTAAAATAAACATTGCATTCAGTATTTGAGCGGTTCTTTTATTATTCTTCAAAAATAAAAAATAAAAAATAAATAAAAAATAAAAAAGCAAAAAATAAAAAAGCAAAACCAAAGGTTAAATGCCATGAATTATCAAAAATATTCTGGCGATGCATCAACTTCAGCAGCCCCTGTTGCTCCATTTACCGACTTAACCAATTATAATATGTTATTCCAACAACAATATCCCATCTCTCATTTTTTATGAATCCATTAGTTGCAAATAAAGCTGCTATTGAATACAAAGAGGTGTTATTCGCATATTTATTTTGAAACATAATAATTTAATAATAATAATTTTTTTTTTTTCATCAAAGGCATCGAATAATTTAGAAACAGTTTCTAATGATGATTCAGCTTCCGATACGGATTCTACCTCTTCTAAAGTATTAAACAACAAAACATATTGTTTTTTGAGCCTCCTGATTTTTCTTTAGCATTCATAAAAATGTTTAGTATGAGAACATAAAATAATAATTCGTCGCTAAATGTAATGATCCATGGCAATGTTACTTGTGTGGTCTTTTTGAAAACTTAATTGATTGTAAAATTTTCAAGACAGGTATAAAAAAAAGGATGTTTCTTGTAAAAAATTTGTTGATTTAAATAACACTTTCATTTCAATCTTTTTTATTTATTTTTGCAAAAGGATATTTAAAATAGAATTAATATTTTATTATTGGACTTATTATTTTTAGAACCTGGTGGTATAAATTTATGTTGTCACCGATTAAAAATAACATTACACATAATTTATACGTACAATTTTTTGTCAGATTTAAATTAACAATAATCAGGTGATCAAAATCATTGTCCGAAGCGTAGCGAGGACTCTCAAGTACATGTAAAAGTTGAAAAATGTCCGTCTGTCCGCCTACGTGATTTTATATATATAGGTAATCATGTGTTACATACTAGAGTTTTGAGCAAAATTTGTCTGTCTGTTCACTCACGTTACATTTATCACGTGTAGAAACCTAGAGTCTTGAGCAAAATTTTGTCCGTCTGTCCGCCACGTGATTTTTCATAACTATTATTAATTTCTTATATATGAGTGTGGGCAAGAAGAAATGTACACTGATTACTATAAAATTTATAATTATCTATTTTTCGAATGTACATTTTCTCTTGCCGCACTCATATATATACAGTATAAGAATTTAAATTTTTGCTTCGGACACATAACAGTTCCTGTTATCCTAGTGTAAGAATTACTCATACGATATTAACTTGAATAACATACACAAAAAAATCAACATATTAATAAATATATTACCATTTTATCAATATTCAAAAATATCATATTAAAAATATCATGTAAAATATTAGTTGATCAATAATACTATTTAATTTACTTTATTAATGAAATCTTTTCTAGTAACACAAAATTGACCTCAAAACAATATAAAATAGCTCGAAAGTTTAAAGCCAAGCAAACATCAATTTATTATAGTTATTTAATCAGTTTTATAATCACAAAAAATAAATAATACAATTGATTAATTATTCACTTCTCTTAAAAAACAAAAAAAACATGTCATTTAACATATATAAAATTCTTGAAATTGAAGATCTAGAATATAATGAATGAATGATTGATTTAACCTCTTCTAATGATACTCCACAAATCAGTAACCAATTTACCTTAACTAACAACTTATCTCAAACAGAAATATCACCATGGATCGCATCTACAAAAATGAAAGAAATAATAACTAAATTTGAAAATACCATTTTATCACAATTCCCATGTATTCTCTGTTTTATTTGCTCAAAACTCATATATCCAGAAAAATCAATGTAGATTCAACAAGACCCTAATATTTCATACTCTCTTGCAAACTATAAACCATTAGTTACAAATCCTATCCCACCAACAAATCGTATCGCAATATGCCAATTATGTAAATCAGATCAAAATTGAAATTACTCACCATATCTTGTACCAACACCAACAGAAATTGAATCTGTACCATTAGGAAAACATAAATACTTATCACTTATTTTTTTACATTGCTCTCTTGGTAGAACACCTAGTACAAATCCTTTTACTGAATATAGAATATTAGTAGGCACTATGAATTATTCTCAAAATTTTCATTCATTAAGCATGTATTTAGATTTATTAGGTGCATACCTGGAATCTTCATTTAAAATTCCATCTGAAATTCCACCTTGGTTTGATAATTCATTGACTAATGCTATTAACTTGCTTAAAGACCATAATCCCTATATACATGAATATTCACAAATGCTTGTACCATTTTCAAATACAAATCTTCAACTCCCTGTAGCAACTTATTCGATAATTGATAAAAATACTCCTCCATTTTAAAAAGGTGATATAGTAGTTCCATACCAAAATTTTCTAACTGAAGTTTACAATAAAGATGCAAATTACTATCATCTAATAGCAGGATTTATAATAAATAATGATATAAATAAAATTCCTATTGCATTAAATAATTCACACCTTGAAGTATTACTTTTCTCAGATCTATAACCTGATGGCTATAGACATTATTATGAAATGCAAAATCAACTTGAAAATGTATATCGACATCACGATACTTTTGGAAAATATATAAAACATTATCTACTTTCTAAAGATTCCCAATTTCATTTACACCATCATTGGCCTGCATGGGCATATTTACAATTAGAAAAATTTAGAAACTTTCAAAATACTCAACGATTAATTAGTTGTTGATAAAACTCATCATCCACCCACAACCATAGAAATTATCGAACGTAGTACTTACACAAATGGCTGGCGATATGATGAAGAAAAAACAACTCCAATTCCAATATTTATTCGTACAGGTAATAGTTATTTTCAAAAAAAATAAACATTTAAACACAATGATTCATGAACTTGGTCTTCCAACATTGTTCATAACATTGTCAATGGCTGAAAGCTTGTAGACCCATCTTCATAATATACTTATTAATACAGACAACCACGATCCATTACCAACAAATAGACCATTGCATACAACCCTTCATTTTGTTTACAGACTTCAAAATATTAAAAAATTTGTTTGAAAAATCAAGAAATTAGTGAGTGGGGAACTTACTCTCATTTTTTTGACAGGATAAAATTTCAAAATTGTGGAGCAGCACATTTTCATAGAGTCTACTAGACAACAACAAGCATATTAAAATGATTAACCAAAATACTATCTGATCTACTTTTCTAGATCCTAATTTAGAATCTGAACTTTATTAAAAAGTTTTTGCCTTTCAAATACATACTTGAACCTTCACATGTAGAGGACTAACACCACCAGGATTAATATGTAAAAGAGGATTTCCATGTCCACTATCTAAATCTACATTTTATGATCCAAATAATTACAGATATATTTATTGATGTTTAACACCAAAAGACCAATGGATAATTCCATATCACATACTGACACTCATGATATGGAATATTTATATGAATATTCAATATATCACAAATAAAGGACTTGCACGATATATAACAAAATACATTAATAAATCAGAACCAACCCACCTTTTCAACATACAAGAACAATCACACTATTGAGAATTTATTCATGCACGACGAATGGGTTTAATGGAGATTATGTTTTTGTTACTTGGAGAATGTATTATAAATTCATCAATACAAGTACAATATTTAATTACAGATCCTCCAAGTATTCATTCTAAAGCAGTTATCTCATTATACATGATCAATTCACTTGATAATGATCCCTATTGGACTGATAAAATTGAAAAATATTTTGCTAGACTACATGATTCTATATTTAATAACATGATATATAAAACTTACTTTGAAACATATAATATCAAATCAACTTAACCAACCCACTCTCTTCGAACAGTATATCAAGATGATTTTGAAAACTTTGTTATTGAACATACAAATCGTATTCTTACTTATATGCAATCTCTAAGAATAGAACATGGAGAATTATACTTTTATCAACAACTTCTACTAAGATTTTCATGCCGATCTGAAAATGAAATGCTAAATAATTATCAAACTTACATGCATTAGATCAATTCACCTCCCTTATTGAAACAAT